TAGATTTCTCATTTGGAAAGTGCCTTGTAAGGTCAGGGTTTACTCAGAATATTGTATGATGCTTCGACTAAGAAGAAGAAATGCTTACCAACAAGTGTCGGAATTTGATAGAGGCAGGATCGTTTCATATAGAGAATGTGGATTATCATTCCTTGATATGGCTGGTCGCATTGGTTGACATTCAACCACTATCATACGAATATAGAATCAATGGAATGCTGTGAGGATCGTACTGAATGCCATGCAGAATCTCAATGGCCTCCCATGACTATAGCCCGAGAGGACAGACATATTGTGAGGTCATCCCTGCAAAACAGTACAACCACATCACAGACCATTAGTCAGAAAATGTTTATTTTATCATGTTTTCAGCAAGCCCAGTATCCACTCATACGGTGCTTTGATGTTTGCAACAGCATAGCATAGAGAGAGACAGCGGCTCTGGTGTGCCAAACGACAAAGCTGGATACAGGAGTGGCACAATATCATGTTTTCAGAAGAGTCTCGGTTCTACATGCAGTATTTTGATAGTCGTACATGAATGTGGAGGCTCCGAGGAGACCACACGTTGCCTGTTTGCATTCGGTATCAACATAGGGGCCCTGCACCTGGTGTGATGGTTTGGGCAGCCATTCGGTACATGCCACGCACATCTCTGGTTCGGATTTATGGTAATATGAGTGCAGATTGGTACACTTCTGACATCTTATGTCCAGTGGTTGTGTCCTATCTTCGAAGCCTGCCAAATGCCATCTTCCAACAAGATAATGCAAGACTACATGTTGCAAGTTGTGTTGTGACCTTCCTCGATACACAGGGTGTAGTTTGTACCATCATTAAATTCACGAAACAGGAGTTTCTGTAGTAGCTCTTGATACACAGGGTATTCAATTGCTGCCCTGGCCTGCACGGTCTCCTGATCTGTCACCCATTGAAAACATCTGGCCATGGGTTGCTGAGAGATTGTTCCACCACCCGTCTCCAGCTAATATGGTCCGTTACACATAAACAAAAAACAAACAATAAAGTGTGGCATAGACTTGAAGCAGCATGGAATATGTTTCCCGTTTTGTTATCCAAGCCCAGTTTGACTCCAGACCTAACTGGGTATCAAAATTTACAAAAAAAAAAAAAAAAAAAAAAAGCTTAATATTTTTTTGTTTACTTTATTAAACATTTCTTTCAATGTAAGTTGTTTAAATCGCTTTGTTTTTTGCGCTAATACGTTCTCTTTAATTCTCTCTTCTCTTTATGTGCATGCGTAGCAGACACGTGCATTAAACGTGCGTGCATAAACATATTATGCACATGCGTATGCGTTTACACATGTGCATAAAGTTTGTAGCTTTGAGGTCCGGATTATAAATCATTTCGGATTATGGATGTCCGGATTAAAGACTTTGTACTGTATATAACAATATTAGGTTAATCATATGTTTTTCAAAATTTTAAGCATTCATGTTGATTAGGATTCCCCCCACTCCGTCCTGTAAAATTTACATTTAAGTACATAGTACTTTTAGCAAAGGCTAATTCAGGAATAAATTTAATGATAAGTACAGTTACAATATACATTTCAGTAATATTAAAAATATAATTTTATATAAAATAAGCATAAAAAATTAAAATATAAAAGTTAAACAATTGCAAGATGCGTGTTTACTGAAATAATTACCTGGAAAATTGCAGTTAACATTTTTGAATTAGGAAATTCTAATATCTTTTTTGTAGTAGAACTTAGAAGAGTTCATTAAATTCAAATATTTTTATTAAAGTGTATGCCTTAAGATAGTGTAATCTTTGCAAATAAGTGCCCAATTTATATTAAAATATAATATTGTTCATTGACTCTTATAAAAAACTGTGTTGTGATTTTACAGCTGCTGTGTGATAATGGTAAATATCAACTTTGTTGATCTGTTTATAATATCTTTTAACAGTGACTATGTTTAAACTGTAGCAGATTTGACTCTTTTGTAACTCATTTTATGGAAATTTATCCATATATTTTTATCTATCATTTTTAAAAATTGATTTGAGAAGAAAGTATGTAACTTCTTCCTTGAATAAATATATATTATGATATATAAATTCATTTATGTAATAACATTAAGCTTAAAGAAGAAAGTATATTCTGTGCATATACAGTCAAAAGTCGTTAATTCAGACACCCATAATCCGGACCTCAAAGCTACAAACTTTCTGCGCATGCGTCAAAGTGACGCACACCTTTACGGCTGCTTATGTGAGTGCGCAAGCACATAATACACTTATGCATGCACGTTTAATGTGTAACGGACGGTATAAGCTAAAATTATCTAATTATCTATTTCAGTTAATGTTGCAGATTGGGTTGTTCCTTAATCTTCGAATTGAATCCGGCTTATTATTTTTTGGAGACAGTTAGAGCAATTTTATAAAAGTGAGCTTGAACTTTCGATTATGTCAAATAGAATTTCTGATGCTGGAGCTCCCAAAGGATCCACAAAACGAAAGTATGTTTCGATGTCCATCAAAGAAAAAGTGGAATTGCTGCAAAAAATGGATAAAGGCATGAATAAAGTGACAGAGAGGTTAGTGAAAACAAAAAAATTTCGATTGACGAGTTAGTCGGTATTCTCGGCACAGCAATTACAGGACTGAACAGTGGAACTTGTAAACTGAACAAGAATTTATGTCTGTTTATATAGAATTAAAGAGAAAGTATTAGCACATAAAACAAAGCAACTTAAACAACTTACATTGAAAGAAATGTATAATAAAGTAAACAAATAAATATTAAGCTTTTTTTTTTTTTTTTTGTAAATGATCCCTTTAGATCATAATTGTTCTTTATTTCATAAATTACAGTTTCATATTTTTAATTTTATAATTTCTGCATGCCATCTTACCAGATTAAACTGATGATCTATAATCCAGAAAAATCGATAATCCGGAATCGCTGAAGTCCCAGACGAATCCGGATTAACGACTTTTGACTGTAGTATTAATATAATTATATAGTATAATGTATTATAATAAAAATTGTTTCTATTATTCTTATGCCAACAGTAGAAATGTTATCATCTTTTATGATCATTATCTCAAGTACCCCAAGCTGCATTAGCTAAGACTTTTCAGTTAAATAAGCATTAATTACTACTAAATATATAGTGAGAATGTTATAAAAATCCATTTTCAGATGCCAGCCTCTGTATCTGCTGTAGAAGAGAATGTTGATCATAGTTTCTCCTCAAAATTCTTGGGACTTTTTGTTGTATTGATTGCATGCTTTTCTAGTGGATTTAGTGGTGTATACTTTGAAAAACTTGTCAAAAGTTCTGCGCAGTCATTATGGATCAGAAACATACAATTAGGTTAGTCTTGGTTCTGAATTTACATTTGAGTTTCTTATTATATTTTAATATGAAATGTTAATTAGAAATTAAATTTTCACTAAGATCAGGAAAGTTTCACATTTGATTTTTCTTTTTTTTTCTAGAGTAGTTTTAAAATCGTCACGGACACTTAACTGACAGCAATTAGCTGAAAGACACTTAGTTGACAAGGACATTTATCCAATAAAACTTTACCCAAATTGAACAGTTAGCCAACAAGACATTCAGCCAACAGAACATTTAACCAACAGAACATTTAACCAATAGAACATTTAACCAACATTGACATTTAGCCAACAAGACATTTAGCTGATAATACATATATGTAAACAAAACAATATGCAATAATTTTTTAGTAAACAGAGTGGTAGTTTTTGTCCATACAGATGGAATTTACAAATTTTTAGAATGATTTTGGAGCTATTGAATTAATGTTTAAAAGAAAAACAATTTTTTTTAATGCTTGGTCTGATAACCTTTCTTTTGGATTGTAAGTCTGTATCATGATTTCCACAATAGAGAGGCTTTTCATAAAATTTGCAAAGAATTTCCATTCCTGTTCCACTACTTTCCAGAGCCCATCAGTCGTGATGGGTTTGTGCTTAGAAAGATGTCTTTTCAAGAGACCTAAGGCACATTAGTCCATAGGTGAAACCTTAGGGAACTTCACAGGAATATATTAAAAAGATATGTATGCAATATGTGCATCAGTCTTCAATTTTTCAAAGAATGCAGTGGTACTTTCTGAAGTAGGACTATTTGTTTTGTCTTGAAGTTCCACTGTTTGAATGTCATTGGGATTTAAAAATGGAATCTCTTCTGTAAATATTGTATGTAAGACTTTCTTTTGATTATAAGTTTTTATTTTAACATTTGAACAAATTATTTTAACACTTTTTCCCCCACTCTCCTTATTTTCGATATCTTATTGCAAGAGAATCCTGTGACAATCATACATCCCTTACTGAAACATTTTTTACACCGATAGAATCAAGTTTTGCTTTTGTTTCTCTTCATTTTCAGTAATAAGTAAACCTTTTTTTGTTTGTTTTTTTTTTGTTGCAGTCATCTAGGTAAACCCGTGCTTCATCAGGGGTCACAATGTTATACCATTTACCTCCTGCTAAAGAGTTTTCATACAGAATTCTACAAATTTTTCCTCATTGAGCCATATGTTTCAGCAAAAACTGATGCACATTCTAATTTTTAGCTTTTTTAAGTGTCAAAACTTGGTTTATTATTTTATTTATTGTGCTACAGATGTATTTAAAGGCTTTGAAATTGATTTCTGTGTTGGTGGATTTTCTGTTGTTACCAACGATTTAACTTTAGAAGCTTTAGAAACAGCACATACCTTTTTCAAGTACGCATGTGGAATCTTCTTTCCATGTGGAAGTAATGATTGATAGTTTTTTCCTTTCCTATTAAAAAGTATTGCTTATTTTGTACTTTTAAAATTTTAATACCACACATTTTGCAATGTTTCTGGATTATGGAATAGGAATATTTCTCTTCAGAAAGTGTAAAAACATATCATTCAATCTTCAGCTTGTCTATATATGCAACGTGTTGAAAGAGGAATAAATTAAAAAATAACAGATGGTATTTCTCATTTAAAAAAATAAGCTGTTTCTAGAAATTTTTATTCCAAAGCATTTGCCTTTACCCCCTTAATTTTTTTAGTGAAATGTTCAAAAATTGTGTAAACACTCTGTGTATTTATCTGGCAAAAAGCTGTTTCCAGAATATACAACAAGGTGGAATGAACTATACAGGAATTCTACTACTGCCTCTTTGACTAAACTATATTTTCCTTCCATTCCTCACAGACTCAATAATAAACACTTTTTCTGCAATTTTGAAGTTACTCAATTTCTAACTGGACATGGTAAATTCAATTCATATCTGTAGAGATTTAGATTATCTAGTACAGACTTGTGTTCATGCAGTTTGTGGGAGGGCAAAATGTCGAACATTTGTTGTTCTATAGTTCAAAGCTCAAGGAAGAACAAAAGGAAGTCATTTCTAGGTTAAACTCTGTGAATATTACATTTCCTCCCCTTCTTCACGTATTTGTCCAACATAAAATGGCTTTCCCTTTCTTCTGTAAATTTATCTCTTATGTGTCATCTGTGAATTTGTAAGTTTATTTTATTGTGTGTTGTGTCATTGTATTTTTTTTTTTCACTTACCTCTGTAAGACTTGTGTAATAATACTATGTGAACATGGTAAATTCAATTCATATCTGAAGAGATTTAGATTATCTAGTACAGACTTGTGTTCATGCAGTTTCGGGGGAGTGCAAAATGTCGAACATTTGTTGTTCTATTGTTCAAAGCTCAAGGAAGAACGAAAGGACCTCATTTCTAAGTTAAACTCTGTGAATATTACATTTCCTCCCCTTCTTCACGTATTTGTCCAACATAAAATGGCTTTCCCTTTCTTCTGTAAATTTGTAAATTTATCTTTTACGTGTCATCTGTGAATTTATAAGTTTATTTTATTGTGTGTTGTGTCATTGTATTTTTTTTTTTTTTTTACTTACCTCTGTAAGACTTGTGTAATACTATGTGGTACACAAGGATTTAAAATTTTCAATTAGAAAAAAGTTTTATGGATAAGTAGCATATTTTTTCTTTAATTAAAGCTTAAGAAACAATAGACTTTAAAATTAGGCAGACAAGCAATCTTGTTTTGGTGTAGATTTTGAAATCAATTTCGACAGGTGCAAAACGATTTTATATGGAAAGAAATGAGTGAAAACAAATGTAATTTAATCTGTCGAGAAAAATAACATTGAAACAAGAAAAAACTAAGATACTAGAAATTTGAAAGAGCTGAAAATTTAATCTCATTAACTGGCTAAGAAAATTTTTGTTAATGTGGATCGGTTCAAAGAAGTCTAATTTTTCTAGCTGGAGAAGGTGTATGGATAATTTTTGAAGATCTGAAGTCAGAATTATGATTAAATGTCCATTTGTGATTAGCTATCAAAATTTTGCTTTTCGAACACATGATTCATGTTCCCTGATGAGAAATTTCAACACTTTTTCAGGTGGGCCAATATATATGAAACCATACTGACATGATAAGCTTTCATAAGAATTAAAATTATCTTATCTTTAAGAACTGGACAACAAATTTTTTTGATACTTGCAAAAACAGCCTCAATTGAATTTGTTAAGAATCCAAGCAACTTTGTAACTCTTAGAGAGATGAAATATTATGAAAATGTGTTGGGGAATTATTTTTAATATCTGAGAGTCATTCATAATGGGAGAAGGAACATTTTTGAAATCTGAGAGTCATTCATAATGGGAGAAGGAACATTTTTGAAAGACTTCCTCACTGTCAATGGCAGAAAATACTCTCTCAATGGAAACTAATTTCAAACAATTAGTTTCTCAGAAAGCAAGTATTCTGAGAAGCAAATTTTGGGAGTACAATATATGAAATAGTAAAAAGAGGATACTTTTTAGTTAGCAGAAGGACATGATTTTACAAGGAGAGGCAAACGAGCAGGAAGAGATTTAAGGTAAACTATTTCAGCTCTAGACCAAGAATTATGATCAATATATGAAAAATTATAATTCAGATTGGCAATTTCTACTACCCAAAAATGAAACCAGTCTTAACAAATGCTGACCATATTTGTGAGATAGAACCATGCTTATAATCTGATGAAATGTAATGTTCCTATGGCATTACATTTCATCAGATTATAAGTATATATTTATTAAGTTATAAAAAATTTTATTGTATAAATTTAAGTTATAAAAAATTTTAATGAAATATGAGGTCAGCCCTCCCTATGATGAATTCAGTTAAATACAAAACATGTGAAAATATGAAACACAGTATGTAGGAAATATTGTGAAGTAAGGTGTTTAACATTGAAGAATTTCAAGTGATATTTATGAGTGTTTTTTAGAAAAGGTGTTTTCCTTTTACTTTGCTGTTATTCATTATGTTTTGCTGCTAAGGCAGAGTAAATTAAAAAAAAAGTCAATAACTTCATTGTGTAGCTACCAGCCTTCTAACAAACTGAAAATGTGTTAACTGTAAAATTACAGGTTGTATAAATTTAATAATTTTATTTTATTCTTATTGTTATAAATGTAAAAAATTTGATTAAAATATTTATCTTAAAATCAAGTTTGATTATGCATTTATGTAGTTTGGGATATAGCTGTTCCAAATGCCAAATTTTGATAAATATTATTTTAATTTTTAATTTGTTTATATAGTTTTGAATCTTTAGCATACAATAAGAAGTAAATTTCTTAAAACATGTTTAAAAATGCATTGCAAATAACAAAAGAAAGTGTAGCACATAACAATACTTAATAGGCAACTAAAAATTCCTTTTTGTCATTATAAAACACATTCACAATTAAAAATAATTGTAATAGCACTGCCGTAATACTGTTTAGTCTTTCTATCAATTGTGGAATTGCTTGAATTTTCTGTAAGTTTCCAACCAGTTCTTCATTCAAGAAATGAACCAACCATTCAAGTCATATTTTGTCACTAATCGGCAAAACTGTTGTTCATATCATGGCTGTGTGATTTGACATCTATTGGCAGAACTGAAAGAATGTTGAAATTTTTCATCAGGAAAGGTAGAACTGCATGTCTGAAAGAAGAAATAAACTAATTTTTCATAACTAATCACAATTGGACACTAATTATAATTTTGACTTCCAGTGTACAAAAATTGTATATAAAGATTCTTCAGTTAATAAACTGGATTTCTTTAAGCCCTTTTACATTAACAAAAATTTTTCTTCTTTCGTTAATGACATAAATTCTAATATCTGAGCTTTTCCACTATTCATTATTGTTTTCCTTGACAAGTCATGTTACTTTTCTTCACTCAGTTCTTTCCATATAAAATGATTTGCTCCACCAATTGCCAAACTTTTCTTTTTCCCCTTTGAAATAGAGAAATTTATATGTACTTGACCTTGAAACTGATGTAATCTAGGTCAAAATAAAGCTGCTTTTCTGTCTAATTTTAAAAATCTGTAGTCTCGTTATCATTAAATAAACATAAAAATGTGATATTTATCCATAAACATTCTCGTTGTGTACCCCAGAAATGTCTTTTTACCATATAATATGAACTGATTGTCCCTTTTTTTTTTTTACATGTAGGCATTATTAGCTAAACATGCTGTCAGGTAAATAATGTACATGTTGGCTAAATGCCGTATCAGCTAAATGTCTGCACTGGCTAATTATCCTGCTGTCTAAATGTCCATGTTGGTTAAATGTCCTTTTTGGCTAATTGTCCATGTTGACTAAATGCACATGTCAGCTAAGTATCATGGACCCATTTTAAAACATATGGAATGAGCTTTATAAATTAATTTTGATTTAATTGTTATAGAAATATTGAATTTTTACTTTGGTTAGATTAAAATGTCAATATCTGTCATTAGGAGTAGTTGTCTGTATCACTGATTTTTTTCAGACTGAAGGTTCATAACTAAAAGTCTCTTTTTGAAAGACAATGTCCTCATTTATAACAATGGCTGTTACTTGTATCTTTCCTAAAAAAATGAATATAGCTTCACAAGTAATTCAAGCTTTGCTCCTTATTTGTGAAATATTTTCTTATACAATTTTTTTAAACTTAAAATGTTTGAAAGTGAAATTAAGACAAAGCTTATTTTATAATGAATGGTAATGAAGTTTATACTCTAAAATTTATTTTTAATATTTGATCATCTGGATAGTTTTTATTTAATTAGTATAGAATTACATTAATTTTACTTTATATTCTAATTAAAATATCAACAGTCATAATTAGGAAAGAATATAGATCAACTTCGTCAGGTTAAGCGACCAAAGTTTGCATCTTTTGAAGCAGTAATGGCCTTACTTATATGTATATAAGTAAATATGTCTTTGCAACCAATGTGATAGAAAGAATATGTGGGTCTTGATCGTGATTGTTTTGTGGGTCCTGGTAGTGATTATATTGTGGGCATTTAAGTATGGTATAAAAAGTAAGAAAATCAACTTAATGAGCAATTACTTTATTAGAACTTAGTACTGCTTTAAGAAATATTAGAGAAGATAAATAAAGATTGATGGCAAAATGCCCCATTACTGGTATATTTCATCATAAAAGCAAATTTTATTGCCAAAATAGTTTTCTTATTTGTTAACTGTTTCAGCTTAATTTTCTTTTTTATTTTCTTACTTGTTAATTATTTTAACTTTTGAACTTTACACTAAAAAAGAACACTTTGTTGGCCTGGAGAGTATCTTACTATGGGCCTTAAAAAATATTCTTAACACCTTGACTTATTTAATTCTTAATATGCATTAATTTTTTTATCAAATTTTAAAGTTTTATCATTTTCCCTATGTATATATTCTGCTAGCATACTTTATTGTGTTCCCTATGTATCTATTATGTTAGAATGTCTAACATTTTGTGTTTCTTATTCTGTTAGCATACTTTATTTTGAACTAAGTCTGATTTTGTTGATTTAGTTTCTATATTATATCTTTAATGTAACAAAAGAAAACATTTCTTTTATTAATTACAGCCTTATTTAGTATAATACTTGGGTCTCTGGCTGTAATTATTCAAGATCTGCATGCAGTTACAAATCATGGATATTTTCAAGGATATTATACTACAACCTGGATAGTAGTACTTCTTCAGGTATTTTTTTTATACATATGAATAAGTTTTTCTATACAGGGTGATTCTAAATTGTTTTTACAAGTTTAGAGGGGTGATAGTACTCATCCAGATGAGCAATAATTACCATGGAACATAGGATAACATTCCACTCGGAGAGGCAGAAAAGAGTAATATTAGAATTCCAACCTGAACATACAACAGTGTTGGGAGAAAGAATGAATGAGACAAAAAATTGCACAATCAGTTTAGTGAAAAACTCACAGAGAGTGTGCACAACGGATAAAACCGAAACTTGGCGTTTGAGTGTTAATTCGAGCTCAGACTTTGATGGCAAACTCTCAAATTCACATCTTTGGTTTGGAAAGTCTCAACCCTTGCAAACGATTTCAACAAGTTAATTATCTAAACAAGGCCTGAATGTTATCAACTAACTCCAATTCAAAGTTGGTTTGATACTATCAAGGTAGCAGTTTCCCCCCCTTCACTATCTTCTATCCTGCCCTCCTGGACTTACTGTGCTGCAATCATTCTACTTGAAGTGCCCTTCTACGGCACACAAAGTTCTGACAGCCGGAACATAGCCTGAACTTTTCATTATAATCTCGGCATACAGTGGAAGTTCGAGTTAGTCGATAATAGTCATCCCTTGATTAGATAGTTAACTTGTTGCAATTGTTTGCTAGGTTGAGACCTTGCAAACCAAAGATGTGAATTTGAAAGTTTGCCATCAAAGTCTGAGCTCAAATTAACACTTGAACGCCAAGTTTTCGGTTTTATCCGTTGTGTGCACTCTCTGTGAGTTTTTCACTAAACTGACTGCACAGTTTTTCATCTCATTCATTCGCTCTCCCAACACTGTTGTAAGTTCAGATTGGATTCTAATATTACTCTTTTCTGCCTCTCAGAGTGGAATGTGACCCTATGTTCTATGGTAATTATTGCTCATCTATATGAGTACTATCACCCCTCTTAATTTGTAAAAACAATTTAGAATCACCCTGTATATACATTATACCAAGAGTAATCCATAGCCCTTTTTTTTAATCTTGTTTTATTTGCTCAAGGAATCTATTGAGAATTCAGACCCTTCAGTATTTATTTGAATGGCTGAAGGTACAAAACACTGCTAGTTAATCCTAAATTCAGTTTTTAATATCTGAGCAAACTGGTTTCAAAAGAATTTCCTTTTAAACTAAAATTTATGTTTATCAAAATAAAGAAAAATGAATTAAGACCTATACAAGGCAAAAATACACCAAGGTTTGAAAAGCTTTTTGATACTGATTTCAGTATGAAAGAGCTGAAAACAATTTTGGAATTTTAGTGAAGGATAAGAGTGCAGGCTCTGATGTAATCTTACCTGAATTTCTTACTAACCTTAGAGATTCTGCAAAACTTGTATTATTGAAGTTTATAAACCAAACTTGGAGAAATGGTTTGTCAAGTGCCTGGAGAAAAAGCTGTGATAATACCATTCTCAAACGTAACAAAACTGTAGAGAATTTGGACAGTTATTGCTCATTTCTCAGTCTTTCTTGCAAACATTATATGTAAATTAAATGAGAAATTAGTTGCAAAACAGATTGTTTGTGTTGGACGAAGCTGGTGTGATATCTGAAAGGCAGGTGAGTTTTCAGAGACAAAGATGTACTGCTGAACAAATAGTCTGCTTATAAAGAGATAAAGGATGGCTTTCAGAGAAAGCAAGGTACCCTTACTATATACATTGATTTCAAAAATACTTTTGATAAAATTTGGAGAGCCGATTACTTAAAAGGTTGATGTTCTGTGGCATTTCTGGCAACTTTTATAAATGGATTAAAAGTTTTCTTGACCAGTTATTTATAAGTATGGTCAAAATGTGTTTGTTATTGACAAATAAACAGGGTTACCACAGGGAATGGTACTGAGTCCTATTATTTTTAATATCATGATTTATGATTTAATTGCCAGTATTTCTAGATCTATCCTAGGCATTAATATCTTGTTATTTGCTGATGATGAGTGCTATGGGATCTTACTTTGTTGGCCTGGAGAGTGTCTATCAGTGAGCCTTAAACGTTCTTAACACTTTTACTCATGAAAATAATATGGTAGTAAATATTGAAAAAACTACCTTCCGATTGTTCTTCCTGAGTACTAAATGCTATGTCTTTCATAATAATAATAAAGATCCAAACAAAACATATGATACTATTTACTTGGGCACTCATTTAGACCCAAAATTATGTTGGAAAAAGCAAATGAATGCAGTCATTGTTTGAGGCTGTTTGTGATCTATAATACTGAAAAGTCTGTCAGGTATTACTTGGGACTCGACCCAAGATGTTTTGTGTACAGTGTATACAAGTTATGTTCATCTGTTGTTGAATATGGTAGTGAGGTTATGATTACTGTCTCAGATTCTGTTAGAAACAAGCTTGATATTTTCCAAAACAACATATTGTGATTGATCACTGGTGGCACAAAATTGACTCCTATTGATGCTATGGAATTACATATGGAGCCTTTAAGTGAAAGTTACCAAAAGAATGCTATGAATCTTGTTGAAAAACTCCTAAGAAGAATAGACTTTTTTTTTAAATTGCTAGAGCCAGCGAGTGAAAGACTAAAGACTCATAGATTCTTCCTTTTGACTCTATATTATCTTTATGATACTTACAATATTCATACAGCCATATCAGGCTTTCTCACAGGAATGGAATCTTGTTTTAAATTTAGATAAGCTGGAAAAGCACCAGGATCTTGTTTGGAATGTCAGCAAACACCTTTCCACTCTGAATGAGTTAAAAGATGCTGCTCTGGTTACTATCTATTACAGGTACCCTCCAGACAACTAGTTCCATGTTTACACAGATGATTCAGCAGAAAATGTGATAAAATTGTCAATGCTGGCACTTCTTCAAGTCATTTTAGTGTTAGCTGTTCTGCTGGGAAGCACTGTGATAATTTTGATGGAGAGACAGCAGCTACAACATATGCAATTGATAAATTAAAATAGCCTAGATCAAAATATTTATTTTTTATTGATTCACAAGCTGCTATTTTCTCACTTAACAATTCTGACTATAATGAAAATACCCAAATTCGTTCTTGTAAAATTAAACTTTTTGAGCTAAGGGAAAACAGAAGGAGCATTGCCCTTCAGTTGATTCCGAGTCATTGTGATATTTTTGGAAATGAGCAAGCAGACAAAATTGCTAAGGCCGGATGCTTTATGGCCCAAGCTGATTCCCATTTACCCTGGTAATAGTAAAAGGTTATATATGATCAAATCAAAAATAGCAGAATATCCTTATATGTTGGTGCAGCAGTGGATAAGAAGTAGAATATCCGGATCAACAAAAGAAATAAAATCCCCTATTCCTTACGCCAGGATATTGAAGTTGCTTGCTTTCATTTGACAACTGGCCTTGATTATTTACAGCAACATTTACATCGAATTTCATATTGAGTTTGTTGCCCTTTGTGACATCAGGTAATATAGATGGGGACCACCTCAAGAACTGCCCTATTAATGTTTATTATAGGTTAATTTTCACCCTTGCTTTTTTACGGTCTCATTATTTTATTAGGCTGCTCTTCGATGAATGGCAGATGTGCCTAAGATGGGTGTAGGATTTAAAAACGAATATGTTAGAATTTGGCATTAGTGAATTAGTGAATATAGTCTGTTTGGATCTTTTTTTTCTTTTTTTTTTCTTTATAATTAGTTTTTTATGTACAGGAAACAACTGTAAGCATGTATATGCATGCACACATTATGTGTGTGTGTGCGTGCCATGCATATACGGAGAAAGAGCTTTTGTAATGTAGCAGCAAATTTGTTAAAAGAAAGAGAGCAAATATTAAAAAATAAATAAATAAAATAGGAGTGAAAAAGAACATCTAAATTCATTATTTTAGAAGATATAAAAAATTGTTGATTGAATTTTATCTTCTGTATTTTTCAGTATTTATTTGTTTTAAAAAATATAATTTCTGTGGATCTTTTTTGAATTCCATAGAAAACATTAGATTTAATTTCTCTGTTTAAAAATATATGCATATATACTTCTATGATTTAATTTTTAAAATCAATCTTTTTTGTTGTGAGAATTAAATCACTGAGAAAAGATCCATGGAAAAAGTATCCTTCACCTATACATTAATATCTGTTAATTGTACATTTATACATTTAAACTGTGAGTCTATTATATTCTTATCTGGTATTTTTTATTCTCATACAGGCATTTGGAGGTTTAGTTATTTCAACTGTAATCAAATATGCTGATAATATTTTAAAAGGATTTGCTACTTCAGTTTCAATTGTATTATCAACAGTTTGCTCATACTATTTATTAGATGACTTCACGCCAACAAAGTAAGCATTAGTATTAAAATTATGGTTCAAAACATATGTTCGCATGTTTTTGAGTGGAAGGTCAATTAAAATTTATGCAACTTAAATGCGTGTACTATCTATTTGCTCTTATGTAAAGTTTGGATACCTGTTCTGTCCTTTGTACATTCTGTAATATTCAAAAAAATTATACTGTAATAAAGGTAGGGTACAAAGTATGGGATCTGGAATCATTAAGACATTGGTGATTCTGGATTTCAGAAATTTGTAGATTTTAAATCGTGTTTAAATATAGTAAGGTAACTTTTAGACATGGAAACTTTGGGACTTATTTATTGTTTAGGTCAGAGGAAAAAAATGATCCCTTTCCCACAGGGCCAGAGCAGGAGTCTGAATTTAATGATGGTAAAAAATTTAGAATTTAGAGAAGCACCAAGCAGCAAAATTTAAGGATGGCTGAATGTATAGAATTTAGGATAGGCACTGGTACGGGCCCAGCCCCTGCCCAACAACCGCTGAAGAACTTAATTGCGATTCTAGACATTATTAATACAGCATTAATCAGCCCATTGTTATTGGACACCATGTAACTTGCTAAAAATGACATATAGGAATCTCTGTAACAAAAGAGGCCACTTTTGTTATTATACTCTCCCTTCCTAGACTTATTAAGGATGGATATTATTATTATTATTATTATATTATTATTTTGATTTTGACTGGTGCCTGCTAATAGATATATGGATTTGGGATTTTGTGCTGTATATTAAATTCTAGTGGTCCTTTAGTTAATTGGGCTGGCTATATCTTTAGAAAAGTCTCAAATAACAAATTGTAAATCCGCTTATTTAGGACAAATGCTATTTAATTAAGTGCCTCATTCTAAGTATCTGATGGTTTTGGAGTTTGAAAGAAATTGTAGCGTCTAAAAGGTTAGTTAACCAATATTAACTATAAATATTAAAAAGTAAAATTAATTAAAATTTTTGATAAGGTAATTTTAACCACTTCATGTCGAAATGATGATGATGATGATGCATGAATGAATGGCTTAGAGGGGCTCTGAAAGCATTTATATAGCATGTTCATATCAGAAGAATTTTTTTCTATATCATTATTGTTATTTTTTCGCCGTCAGTTAAAAGGAAATGGCAAAATAAATGCTTCAGAAGTTTATCTAGTAATCATTCTTCTAAACAATAATGATTAGTTTGTGTTATTTTTTCGTTTCTTTTTCCCCTCCCCCCTTTTTCTGTTACATTAAATGTTTGAATGAAACTTTTTCTTAAATTTTTTTTATTTTTTATTTTTATGAAAACTATATTTAAACATTTAGGAGCAATGAATATACATTTGTGTAAGTTGCTACATTGTATGGAACTGCTGAAAAAGAAGGAAAATAAAAATACAGCAACAGAAGCAATTTTTTACTGAAGTATCAAAAGAAAATGATCACTGTAACTGAATGCATAATTAATGTTACAATTTAAAATCTTGGTTGTAATTATCACAAACGAATCAATTGTATTACATTCTAGTGAACATTGTTTTTATCTTCTTCTGTCTTCATGCAAAAATTTCGCAAAATAATTGTTGAGAATGTTTTTTTTTTGGGGGGGGAAACTATTATTTCTATATCTTGATTTGTCTGAGATAGCATGCACTTTAACTGGAACAACATTCTCAAAGAGCAAACCACAAATTCATTTATTTGGGGCAAAAGTTATTTAATTACAAAAAAAAAAAAAAAAAGTCTGTAAATATATGATAATTTCAGAGTTTGAAGGAAATTCTAGCATTTAAAGCTTGGTTAGCGTATCTTAGCTATATCTTGATTTATTTGAAATAGCTTGCGCTTTAACTGGAACAAAATTCTCAAAGAGCAAATCACAAATTCATTTATTTGCTGCAAATGTTATTTAATTACGAAAAAATTCATTCTAAGTATCTGAAAAGAAGTTCTAGCATTTAAAGCTTAGTTAGCAGACATGTAGTGTCTCGCAAAAATGATAGGCCACTATAATTTTTTTATTTTTTTAAGTAATAGGAAAAAAAAAAAAAAAGCTTTGAAATAAAATAATAAAGAATACTTTCCTTTTGAATAGATATTTTCTTAGCTCTCTTTTTGAAGTAAATAAAATTGAAAAAATTAAATAATAAATTTAAAAAGTAGCATTTTATGCTAAAATGGGGAAAAAATATATATACCACAAAATTAATATGACATTTTCATAATTTCTAATTAAAATCATCTGCAATAAATACAAAACAAAATTTTATGGAATTAGTTTGGATAAAGAAGCTAGGCAAAATATAAAAATCATTTGCTTTTACAGTTCAAATTTTCTTTTTAGAAAATATTCCTTATTTTAATGTTTTCTTGCAATGGCTTGGTCATGAAAGGGAAACATCATTAGAACCTCGCAGTTTAGTTATTGATTTACATCAAAAGAAAAGGAAATCTATTAGAAAAATGCCCTATTTACATAATTTAAGTAATTCTACAGTTTTTTTTATTATTAAGTGTTATAAGAAACAGAATCATATTCGAAAGAAAAGAAGATCTGGAAGACAATCCAAGTTACTTGATGGAATGAAACACTTTATTCTAAGGAATATTAAAAAGAATCCAAGATTGAATGCTCTTAAACTTGTTGCAGAAATTCATGAATTATATGGAATATGTGTAAATCCAGAAACTGTGAGAACAGTAAGGTGATCTGTAGTATATCAAGAAAATTTTTTGTCAGTAAAGAAAACTGAAAACTTTGCCTCGCTTTCACAAAATCAATGAAACAAAGGACACCCAACTACTGAAAAAAAGCATTGTTTGCTGATGAAAGCAAATTTAACATCTTTGCCTCATATGGACGAATGCTGGTGTGGAGAAAACCCAAAGAAGAATTTTGGAAACAAAACTTAGTACCAAGTGTTAAACGCATCTGAGGAGAAGTTACGGTATGGGGATATGTGACACATTCCAGTGTTGGTAATATAGAGTTTATAGATGGCATTATGGATCAGTTTAAGTACCTTGACATCTTGAAGCAAAATTTGCCATCATCAGCACAAACCAGGATAATGATCCAAAGCATACTGTGCACAATGTTAGACTCTGGCTGTTATATAAGTGTCCAGAAGTAGTTAAGGCACTATTCCAATTGCCAGATCATAATCCTATGGAACATATTTGGCAGCAGCTAGAATCGAAAATTTGAAAACAGAGCATATCTTTGTGCAGCAACTGAAAGCAATGATTCATGAAGAGTGGTATAAAATAAGTCCAAAAATAACAAGCAAACAAAAAAAAAAAAAAAAAAACCTTGTGGAGATAATGCCTGAAAGATTAAATGAAGCGATCAAGTGTAAAGGTAATCCATGGAATAATAAGATGGAAATGTATTTACTATCAAAAATTTTTGAATTTGTATATAATCAAAATAAAAGCCTTTCTTTTTGTTTTGATTTATTTCAGTTTTTATGTTCATTAAAAAAAAATTTCAAAGTGTTCAATCATTTTTATGGGTCACTGTATACTATAGATTTGGAACAAAAGTCTTCTTTGACTTTTAAATAAAAGCTTATTGTATAGAAACTTTTTTAAATTTCTTATCATTTTAAACTTAAGAACACATTATCAATCAAATTATTCAGTAGAAAAATCATTTTGGGATTCTTCAGTTATGAATTTTTTATAATATAATGTTTCCCACTAAATCTACATGGACTTCTGTTTGAATTCAAAAAATGAATATATATAATATATAATATATATGTATATCTTTTTTTTTTAAATTTTGGCTTTAAATTTACTTTTTTACTTTTATATGTGTTTTGTTAAAATTTAAATTTAATTGGTTTAAATTTATATATATATATATATATATATGAGACATCTTACAGAAAAAAACAAAGTATAGAATATTATTTCCCTTTGTTACATGTGAAAAAATTCATTGAATAAAAAATAATCTAATCATCATCTACAACTTATATCATAAATAAAATTACAAGCATAAGGTATCCTTCATAAATCTATGAAGGTGTAGAGTCATTAGGATATTTTGATTCAGGAGACATGAAAAATGAACAATGCCGTCGCCGGGAATCGAACCTGGACCTCTCGAATTTGTGCCGAGTGTGCTAACGATTACACCACAAAGACATGCTAGAAGGAGGGAGAAAATACCTTATAAGGTAATGGCTTATTATTTAAACAATGCAATTCAGTTAATAGATTTTATTGTGTAGGAACTCAGGCTTTTATCGTACATGATATGAAATTGTAGATGAATTTTGTAAAGAAGATTATTTAATGTTTTTTTCCCATTAAACTATAAGATAAATTATTTTTTTAATTTTAATTCGTTATTTTATAAGTAAAAGCTTATTTTACACAAACGTTTTTAAATTTTTATCTTTCATCTTTCTAATCTCTAGGACAAGGATTCTTGAGTAGAAAAACATTTTTTTCTGCAGTGAATAATCAGTTTTTTATTTTTTCTGTTATGTCAAATGCTCAAAAATATCCAGTGGTTTTACCAAAAAATTAAGTTAAAATTCCTTTTGAAAAAAAAAAATTCCCATTTCTATATCTGATGGTGTTGTTTGTTCATTAAACAAAGATTTACATTTTTGTTTTCATTAAATGAATATATGTGTAGCACATTGTTATTAAATTTTAAATAATTTGAATCTAATTTTGAAAAAAAAATTGCTTCACATTATATTGCTTCCACACTGAGTATGCGTGCAGAATTTGAGCTTATTAGCTTATTGGGGAAAGCTGATCGTGACAAGCACCATGAGTGAGTTAAATGAAAGCTTTTAAAAAGGCAGCTAACTGAAAAAAAGAAGGCTAATTCATCTAATTCAGTGGTCTCAGATTCAAATTGCATGGGTGCCGAATGCATGATCTGAAAACAGCTAATGGGTCAGATTTTTTTCCTCCAAAAATTAACCAAAAAAATTTTTTTATAACAAAGAAAATATTTTAGCTAAATTCAAAATTTTAGTTACTAAATACTATATATCAAAACATACATAAACAGTAATTATAATTAAATATATAAATAAAAATAAAAAATGAATTAAATAAATAAATGAAAATGATTGGCAAGAACATCTAGGAATTCTGGAAAAGGAATCTCAAGTAATATACAATGTATTATTTAATGATAGCTGATATTCAGACATATAACTAGATGCATGGAATGTCTTTAAATGATATAGGACTTAATGTTAAGCTGATTTAGTATGATATAGGCGGTTTTGGATTATGAAGATAAGAATCTTATCGTTTGTATCATGCTGGTGGATAATTTGCAGCAGATAGTGTGCAGCAACTTCATATTTCATAAACTTCATTTTCATGGTAACTCACTTTATTTAGCCTACTGATTTTTTAGTGGTATGGTTCTATATCACTAATTAACTAAATAAACTAGCAATATTGTATATGGATTGGTTCATATCACTGTATCTCTTTTAAAAGTGCAGGAGTTTATTTACTTACATAATCATTTTTATTGCTCTTTTATAAGTTTATGAGAGTTTAAGTTTTAGGATAAGTTTTTTTTTAACCTTTTTATAGATACCATGCCAATTGTATACATACATTATGTAAGCATGGAGTGCATATATGTTCATACATACATATGTTTTGTTTTAATTAATCCATTCATTTTATTTCTTTGGCTTTTCTATAACTTCTATCAGAATGCAAATTAATTTAATGTGTGCATATGTTTCTGTTTGCTAGGTTTTTCAAAGAGCATTTGGCAGAGTTAGACTGGCCATTATTCTGCTTTAGATTTTCTGCTTGTTCAGTTAAATGTCTCAGCAAATGCTTTTGCTTGCTGGGATTTGTTTAGTTGGATGAGCCAAGGTTTAGTCTAGGCTTATTAATTTTCTACACTGTCTTTGAACATATATTTTTTACAGCAAGCTAGAAGAATTTAGTTTCTGTTAAAATTTCAATCAACATGTTAGTAAATAGCTATACTTAAATTTGTTTTGTGGTACTTCTGATTAGTGAACATATGGAAGAAAAGTCATCTGGTAGTCTATTATGGTTACGCTTGTGATTTTGTAGTTTGAAGTTAATAGTGTAACTGTACACAGTGGCAGTATAAAATAACATACAAAACATAAAACAGCATTGCAGTTTCTCATAGCTGTTGTTTCACATACTGAAAAATTTTTGTAAATAGTTAATAAATTGCAATAAGATATTAAGAAAAAAGGAATCTGTATTTGTACGAAAGTCACAAAAATTTGTTAATTTGTTTTTATTAGTTATGTGATTGAGGTTACTTATTAAAGTTGGCTTCACTAAAGCAGTTTTATTCAACTACTGTATTATAATTTTAATCTCAAGTAAAAAATGATATTCATTATATCATATACATTGTGTTATTTTATCTCTGCATAAGACTGTTTGTATTTAGTTTATTAATTACAAATTTGTATTTGAGATGAATTATTAAATATGAATTTTTTCCAGCACATTTTTCATGGGAGCTACAATTGTCATAATTGCAACGATGTTATATGGGTATCCTGTGAAAAAACCAGACAGATATTCATCTAATATGAAAAACTCAGAGAAAACAATAGAGAGATAATTCAAATTTTAATTAATCCTGGTGAATTAATATTTTAAAATATTCTTATTTATAAAAATGAATACTTAATTTATATTTTTCTTTTGAGCTTTTTTTTTACTGTTATTAAAAACATTTATCTGGACATTATGTTCCAAGCCATTCTGTATTATATCTTATATTGAAATTTTCTTAGCATTTTAAAATTGAAAACATTAGTGTCAATTGTTCTTTTATTCATCTGTGTGTAAATTTAGCATGATCACTTAATTTCCAAAAAACTTTAATGTTTGGAAAATGTTGTGATTTATAAATAATCATATATGTGAAAAGAATAATTATGAATATATAATCAGAATCTGTCTCTTGATGAAGAATGTCCATATGCTTATTTTAAAATATCTGTGTTCTTTTTATAGTAATAATAAAATAAACAAAATATTAAGTAATTTATTTTGATGAATTATGCTACTTTGTATGTATATGTGTTTATACATATATGCAGAAAATTTTAAATTGCATTTTTTGTCGTTACTTATCCCATTCATATTGCTGTCGTCTTTTAAGAGTATCAAAATTCTAAAAAAGGCAGAATTTTCCCATTTTTCTGTCTGACTACTCTAGAATAAAATGGAGCCCTTTTCTCCTTATCTAGTTTGTAGCTAACTGCAAAGCAATAAGTGTTAAAGTTATATATTATTAATAAGGGGAGAATGTGATCTTGGTCATACCATTTTCATCCAATTTCTACATAATTTGGAAGACCTTAAAGTGTATATATCTATGAACAGTAAATGCACATTTCTCTGAAATAGTGAGAAAATCAAGGCTAAAGTTGTAGGTTACATTCATCTTATTTAAATTCCTCTCTTATTTGCAAATATAAATAATATAGACAGTATTGCACAGAGTTACTAACAAAAAGTCCTCATTTCAAATTCACTCCATCAGTGTTTTTTGTATTGGTATTATTAATTATTTTAATTTACTTTTAATGAAAATTATTTGAAAATATTATTTGAAAAAAAAAAAAAAAAAAAAAAAAAAAAAAAAAAAAAAAAAAAAAAAAATATACTACAAAAATTGCTCATTTATTTTTATCCTGCTTGTAATTTTCAACAAATTTACTTCCAGTTCAAATATACAGTACTGACAAATATACAGTACTGACTTTATTTAAGTGCATTAAGTAAATAATGGCTTATCACAATTTAAATTTGTATTTATGATATGTGCTTATGAAATATAAAATTGTAGTGGAGAGAAGTATGAAATTATTAATACTGTAAATGATATATGGAAGAAATTTTGGGAAAAGTTACTATAAAAGAAATTTGAATTGTAATAAAGCATCATTTTTTTATGAGTTCAATGTCTGTGTATTTTGAATGTTTTTATGATAAATACCATCTATCAAGTACAGTAAATTAGAACAAATGAAAAATTGGGTTTTGTAAAAAAAAAAAAAAAAAAAAAAAAATGACAAAAAAACAAAATCTGAAATATTTCAGATTTTAAATTACGTCCAAAGGGGCGTTTTTTAACATTTTGTGTGTTACCTTTCTTTATTAAATATCATGTTCCTCGCACTTAAACCATAAGATCCAGTGCAACAGCAATATCGCAAAATAGTTTTAAAACGAGCATATCTTTAGAATTTCCGATACAGAGACTCACGCGCTGGAGATAAAAATGTTTTTTCTGCACAACGTTGCCATTGCTCGCTTTGAAATCCTTGAGTTTGTTAATCAAAAATTCGTCAAAGTTTTAAAAAATAGGAAATCGATCATAAAACAATTTCAATTTTCAAAATTTGGTCTTCCCACATGCTCATATTCGTTGGAGGATTACGTTATTCAAATTCGATGACTCTATGTACCGTTGTTTATCACAACACGAGAAATAACATACATTTATGCAGATTTTTCATTATTTAATTTCTTCAAATATAATGCAGGACTCTAACATTTTGTGGCAACAGTTTGAAAAGTGAACCGACATTTATGAGTCCGACGCAAAATGCCAAAACGAAACTAATAGTCCTTCGGGATTCAAATCCCTTTGGACTAAAAAAAAAAAAAAGGGGGGGTATTAATTTTCTAAAAGTGTTTTCATGACTAAGTATTCTTTCAGAATAAAATAATGTTAAAGAACTAATGACATCAATGGACATCATGACATCATGGGAGGTGGCATTTGGATTAAAATAAAGGACTTCTTGTTTATAGCTTCATCTGATACCATCCAGACTAATAGTGCTCACTTGTAAGATAAAATTTAAATGATAGAACATTGTTTAGAAAATGTAGCCTTTATTTTTTTCACTTCTTTTTGAAAGATATGTGCTGTCTCTTCATATATATATAAATTGTTTGAGATCAGTAGATGTCTAAAATTTGAGCCAAATCAGTAAGACCAAGATTGTGTACTCTCCATGTAAATCTAAAATAGGAGATTAAAGATAAGTACAGTCAAAAGCCGTTAATTTGAACACCCATAATCCGGACCTCAAAGCTACAAACTTTCTGCGCATGTTGTCACTTTGGCGCATGCGCGTAAGACCTTTACGGCTGCGAATATGCGTGTGCTCTTTAATGTATAACGGACAGTATAACCTAAGCTAAAATTATCTAATTCAGTTAATGTTCCAGATTGCGCTATTCCTTTATATTCAAATTGGATCTGGCTTATTATTTTTTGCAGACTGTTAGAGCAATTTTATAAAAGTAAGCTTGAACTTTCGATTATGTCAAATAGAATTTCTGATATATATTTACTAATATGTAAAGGATCTACAAAGCGAAAGTATGTTTCGAAGTCCATTAAACAAAAGTGGAATTGCTGCAAAAAATGACCTAACCATTCCGAAATCTGTTTATCAATTTCACGCTGCTCTGCGGTGGGGAGAGGGAAGCCGCGGCACACAATGAATTGATTGTCAAAGTTGATCTGTCAGCACTAACCTTATCCTCAGGGCAGATGTTTCATTTTATTTGGCTTATAATTCCTTACTAAATGTAGTATTTCATCTCGATGTATTCCGTCTTTGATATGATTTAAATCAAATTCTTCGCCATTATAATTTGCTTCCGATAGTGAAGAAAGTGACACAGAAGTTATTGAAAATGAAAAAATTTTGATTGACAAATCAATCGGTATTCTCGACACAGCAATTATAGGACTTGAGCAGCGGAACTCTATAACTAAACAAGAAATTATGTCTGTTTATAGAATTAAAGAGAAAGTATTATCACATAAAACGAAGCAACTTAAACAACTTACATTGAAAGAAATGTTTAATAAAGTAAACAAATAAATATCGAGCTTTCTTTCTTTTGTAAATTTTGATACCCTTTAGATCATAATTGTTCTTTATTTCATAAATTACGGTTTCATATTTTTAATTTTATAATTTATGCATGCCATCTTACCAGATTTAAACTGATGATCTTTAATCCGGAAAAACCGATAATCCGGAATGGCCGAAGTCCCGACGAGTCCGGATTAACGACTTTTGACTGTATTAAATTTTCATTGCGTGTATGACCAGAAAATGAAGGCAATAATTTGTATTAAAAATATAAAAGTCTAGTATTATGTGAAAATAAGCTTGATTTTAAAAATAAAATGAATGAAGTTTTTTTTATTTGAATACTTGAATTTCTAACTCTTTTAAGTTTTTATTTTGATGCTATATTTGAGAGATTCTGTCACAATATTTCAGATCAGGACCCATGTATCTTAGCAGAAAATTAGCTATAAAATCTCTTTGGGCATGCATTGTGTCATATACACTATGGAAAATGAAATTCCGTGGCTAAGAAGAAGTCAGTCTAAAGAAATGAAATCTAGGCAAAGCATTTGTCTAGGTAACATACGTATTTGATTAATCTTTCAAGGTCACAGGTTAAAGTATGTATAAGAAAAGTCATTTCAAATGTGAAATGGTGGCTACATTAATAACCACTGTAGTTATCACAGTGGTGAGTACAATCATGCAGATGGGCATGCATTGTGTCATACAAGATTCGTATGTCATTTTGTGGGATGGGGTTCCATGCCTTTTGAAGTTGGTCAGTCAAATCAGCAACAGGCTGTACTGGCAGTAGATAATGCTGGATTTGTCATCAGATCATACCCATACATGCTTAATGGGAAAGCGTTCAGGAGATCTTCCAGCCCAAGGCAATATGTCGGCACTCTGTAGAGCATGATCGTTGATAGAGTGTTACAGGGATGAATGTTATCCTGTTAGAAAATGTCCCCTGGAATACTGCCCAAGAACAGCATCATGTCTGGTGCAGTCACCAGTCTGAAATACTAATTTGCTGTCAAGGTGTGTATGATTATGACAAAAGTACTCTTGCTGTCATAGGAAATTGCTCCTCAGACCATAATTCCTGATATAGGTCCACTGTGTTCTATGCCACAACCAGCTTGGTTCCAAGGGCTCACCTGGCATACTTCTAACCAGCATATGGACAACACTGGCACCAAGACAAAAATGGCTGCCATCTGAGAACATATTGGATCTTTATTCCCCCTCTAGCCCTTTGACGCGCGGTGGTCTCGCGCCCTGAAACCACCAATTTTCGAATTTTTTTCTCCTCTTCTTTCCGAAATTTTTGAGTGAAAATCAATTGATTACTGGTCTTTTACCTCTAAATAACTCAAAATGACTGCAGAATCATACATGTTTTAGGTCTTAGTATTTCAAATCGGATGCCTTTTAAAATTTGTTTCCAATGAGACAAAATAACTTCCTTTTATTAATATAAACAACTTTAAATTTCAAAAGTTATTCATTGCACACCATGATTTCTATCATAAACAATAAAAAATAGCAATAATTAAACTGTATATATATATATATATATAACCTCTATATGTATGGCATTTGCTTTGTGGTTTCAGGGTATGACCACACAATACTCTAGAAGCTCGGTGGTCGCACCTTGAAACCACTGCTTTTCACAATGGCGTTTGCTTGCTTCTCAAATAGGAACATTTATTTTTACCCGGATATAGATAAGGTGTTTTGAAACCACAGAGTTATTTTATTACTAAACAATACATGCACCTGCCCAGTAAAAAGGTCTTTCTTTTCCAGAGACTTTTCCCTGACCTCAAAACACTTGCTCCCCAAGCTAGTATTGTGATTTTATAAATTTTTTCCTGTGGTTTAAATTTAATGTAAATATACTTTGCTACAATTAAAAATAGAAATCGCGTAAAGTTTTGTTTAAATTAAAAATATTTTCTGACTATTTTGGGATGAAATCCGAAGGAAATAAGTATGAATGAGAAACGAATGATCTGTACCAAAGCCAAAATAACCAAGCCCTCCCCCTCATCAACATTAAAAACCAAAAATTTCATGTGCCAGATGAAAAGAAACTAAATAATACTGGTTATATACCAGTGAAATTTAGATCCAGGCAGTGTACATTTTGTAGTACAAGGAAGAAACCATCATAGAAGAAGATACATGTGTGAAACATGCAAGTGGGTCTATGCATGTACTAAAAGGGCAAAACATGCTCTGAACAGTATTGCAAAAAAAAAATTTATCCTTTGAAATTAAAAAAAAAAAAAAAGAGTCTTTTTTTTTAAATTCTTATTTTACTGAGTTTTTTTAATTCATTTAGCCAAACGTCCTTATTATATAGGTACTTATATTTTCACTGCTATAGAAAAATTACATAAATGTTTATTTTTTAATTTTTTCTGATGATTTACTTTGTAAAATAATTTAAAAAAAATTATATATAATGCAATTCTTACATACATTTTTTTAAAATTCGTAAATTTTGTCATTTATTGGAAACGCGCATGGAGAAAGGTAAGTTTTTTTTTCCTACTACCTGATCCAGTTTCAAAGGCCTAGATGCATGGCAGTTTCACAGTGCGACCACCACCCACAGAACAATGGGCAAGAGTAGATTTTTTTTAATTCATATATTATTTGTCTCTAGGATCATAATTTTCAATTTCTAGAGTTTTTAGTTAAAAAATTATTAAAATAATATTGCGCGCGTCAAAGGGCTAGTGAGTTCTAGCGCCACCAAAATTGCGGATGATGGTGATTTGGAGTTAAGTGTATGGCCACTGCAGGGCATCTGTCTCTGAGCTGTCACTCAAGTAATCAATTTATTATAGTTTGTTGTGTCACTATAGTGCCAACGAAAGCTCAAATATCTGTTGCAGACGACATTACTGTCCTGTGACCACTGCTACCAACACACATGCACATTGAATGCATTCCTGCCAGGTCTTACTGCAATATCATAAAAAACAAAATCTTGTAGCCATATTACACAGCTCAAACTCAATAAGCTGCTAATGCTGCTTTCTCAATTTCATTCATTCATCAAAGACATTCTTGCTCACATTGCCCAATCCAGAAGATACATAAAGTACACGAAGTTTACATTGAGTTAAATGATTTGCATGTGCAAAGTGGCATCCCTAGCACCACAC